TGAAGGTTATCAGTTACATTAAATGTTGGGAAAATGGAAAATGAGTTCCATGGTGTAAACTGAGAATATGCGGTCCCCAGTAAGCTCACAAAAGCTACCAAGAAAAAGAAGTGAGAACATGCAAATGATCCCTGTAACTCATCAATGGGCAGAGGGGGGAAAAAACCCTATAAGTTGAAGGTCAATAGAAATGGTACATGTGACACGCTAATGGCCAAAGGCTTAAATTAATTGGTTAAACCTCAGAGGCAGGTGCATACTCTGGGAAACCTGAGCATGGGTGAGAGAGCATGAGGTGGGGGAGGGTAGCACATCCATACAAAGGGATGTATATAATCCAAAATCTGCCTCAGTAGTTCCAAGGCAGACATCAAGCAAGGAGTGGGCAGAACAGAATTCTGTTGCTGAGACCCACCTGACGAGAACACAACCTCCCCATGACCAATGGCATGCACACATCTTTGTTAATTCTGGGCTCAGTTCCATGACCTCCTACAAACTGTGTATGTACTGCATACATGGACATTTATAAGCATATGTAATTGCACAATTTATACATGCACAGATGTGGGTTATTAATGAGCGAGGGAGGATGCCAAAAATGGCTGAAGCAGGTGCATGAAAACGGAAGTCAGTGCTACCTGGGACAGGCACACTGTTTCCTAATGTTTAACTCCCGGCACCCAAAAGGTAAAGGCTATATAGCAAGGGAGATAAAACAAAAAGCAGCAGCCGGCTTGCTGAGAAATAAAACCAAAACCAGGGTACAGAAAACTGTGTGGTCGCTACATTTTTTTTTTTTAATTGAAAAGTCAGATATACAGAGAGGAGGAGAGACAGAGAGAAGGACCTTCCATCCAATGATTCATTCCCCAAGTGACTGCAATGGCCAAAACTGTGCCGATATGAAGCGAGGAGCCTGGAGCCTCTTCCAGGTCTCCCATGTGGTTGCAGGGTCCCAAGGTTTTGGGCTATCCTTGTCTGCTTTCCCAAGCCACAAGCAGGGAGCTAGATGGGAAGTGGGGCAGCCAGGATTAGAACCAGTACTCATATGGGATCCTGGTACATACCAGCTGAAGATTTTATCTACTAAGCTACCACACTGCGCCTTGCAATTATTAAGGCCTTTCTCAGACTTTCCCCATGAAAAAAAAAAAAAAAACAAATGATGTGTCTGGGACTCCAGAGAATCCTGTGAGGGCAGACTGCAGACAGACACAGGTGCCATTGTGGGTGGAAACTAGGTCATGGAAAGGCAAAGGAAAATAACTTATTTGAACAAGGAGAAAAAGGACTTTTTCTTTAAAAAAAAAATGAAAGAATGTAGCTATTAAAATCATCACCTCTCCATCCCTGCATATAAGGAGCTGCCCTGCCTTACCATGGGCAACAGTAGCAAACAATGCATTTATGAGTCTCATTTGCAAACAAAATATCGGGGTTGGTGCTGAGGAATAGAGAGTAAAGCTGCAGAAGCTGCAGCCTTCAGTGCTGACATCCAACATGGGCAGCAGTTCACGTCTCAAATGCTCCACTTCTAATTCAACTCCCTGTTAATGCAGCGGAAGATGGTCCAAGTGCTTGGGTCCCTCACACCTCTATGAGAGAACCAGAGAAGCTCCTGGCTCTTGGCTTTGGCCTGGTTCAGCCCTAGCCATTATAGCCATTTGCGAATGATCTAGCAAATGAAACATATTCAGCCTTTCAGTAATTCTGCCTTTCAAATAAGTAAAAAATAAATATTAAAAATAAATTACTGGTATGTGTTGTTTGATAACATATACTGTTAATGATCTGAAGGAACAAATTTTATTTCAGATGACATGTAACAGTCAATACCCAAGTCAATTACACTTATATCAATTTGCTCTTCCAGATCTTGAAATAATTGCTACATGTTTAACACCAGGGAAAAGATCTCTTCTTTCACAAAAATATGTGTGGCGCCTCACTGAGCAATTAGCCCAGGTAGGCAAAAATCCCTCTCACCAAGCAGCAAGACTGGTATCAAGAGATCCATGACAGAATCCAACCACCTTAACAGGTGAGAAAATGAGAAGGATAAAGGTTTGTGCTGCAGAAACACAGGAAACAAGCATGTCCTTAGATTGAAAACTCATAGTACAAAGGGCACCTCATGGTGAGGGTGATGATGATACAGTTACCATCGTAACACCACTGTCTTCGGGAACTTACTGGATACTGTGGTACTTGACACTCACTTAACTTTATGAAACACACAAAGCACCTATCATCGCTACCTACCAACAAATGAAAAAGGTGAGGTTCAGAAGAGTTGCCTACGGGCACACATACAGGAATGGGAAAGAACAGATACGAACTCTTCTTTTCTAACTCCAGGTGAGTAGCCTAATTGTCCATGCTGACTGAACAGGATTCTTGCCATCAGGAGGAATGACCTCTAGCTAATAGCCACAGTCCTGGGATTCCATGATTCCAGGGTGCTCACAATTCCTCAGCTGTCCTTGTGACAAAGAGAAAGCTCATCTCATTGCTGTGTATGTGTGTGTGTGCATGGGGTGTGTATACTCCATTACACAGGCACAGTGAGGGAAGTGCAGAGCCAATACTTAGGACTTCAAGAGTAAATAATATGATCTGACCAGAGCCCTGAAGCCTGCCTCTCTGCATAGAAACAGTCTTACCATGCATCAAGCTCCTCTCTGCATAAATATTGACACTTCATGGTGTTTGGGAGTCTGCCTTTGGCTTCTGAAAGCACTGGCACCATACCACGCCGTCACTGTAACAGCCCTCCAGTGAGCCATCAGAAACCCAGCTAGAACATTTTGAATATAGCAATCTGTAGGCCATCAAGCCACTGAATTGCAATATTTCATATTTATCTCTATTTAAGTTTCAGCGATGCTGCATAAATTTAACATAGTCTTGTGCTAACACAATTGTGGAAAAATCTTAATAACAAATATTGGCATAGCACCTGAGTAAGTTATAGTGTACACACTTTTAATGCATGCTTCTCATGCCACCAGTTAATCTCCATTAATTAGGAATATGACATGAAAATTCTATAGTTTCCTTCCAGAGATAATTTTTTTTAAATTTTATGGGAAAGTCACATACACAGAGAGGAGGAAAGACAGAGAGAAAAATCTTCCATCTGTTGATTCACTCCACCAGTGGCCACAATGGCTGGAGCTGAGCCAGTCTGAAGCCGGGAGCCAGGAACTTCTTCCAGGTCTCCCATGTGGGTGCAGACTCAAGGCTTTGGGTTGTCCCCGATTGCTTTCCCAGGTGACAAGCTGGTCTGGGAAGTGAGGAGCTGGATGGCAAGTGGGGCAGCCGGGATTAGTACTGGTGCCTATATGGGATCCCAGTATGTGCAAGGAAATGACTTTAGCCACTAGGCTACAGCGCTGGACTGAGAGAGATTTTTAGAAGCAATGGCAATGGATGTGTTCACACTGAAGGCAGAAATAATGTAACAAGAAATAACATAATGGAATCAACAATTGTTCTGGACAGAGAGATTAACAATGTTTCATTCAGCTTTCTCCTGCTCAGCAAGGAAAAAGTGAGATTAGCAAAATTCTCTTGTCTCCGAAGCCTTGTGAAGAGAAGAGCCTGAGTGCCCCAGGTTGAGAACATTGCTACTAGGGACGTCACTGACTCACCCCACTTTTCATCGGCGCTCAGAAGATCTCCTTGGGTTTCCTTGTAGACTCTAGTTCTGGACAGTGAGACCAAAGGAAATGGTGTCACCCTGAAGGTCAGGGCCTTGTCTTCAGTGACACAACCACAGGCCAAAAGGGCTTGCAGAACAAGGCAGTATGGTGACAAGGCACAGGCCTGCAATGCTCTGTCTCTCCTCCAGCTGTGCAGCTCTGCCCCTCAACTTACCACAAAAGGCATCAGACTGTGATTCTGATTAAACAAAGATGAGGACAGATAAAAGGAAAAGGAAACCTGTTCAAAGTTTAGAAAGTGTGCTGAGAATAGCCTCTCCTCGGTACATTACAACCCCTACTTTTACGCAAATCAGCCAAACAGCCATACTCAGGCCCTTGCAACAGGAATTAAGAGTATTTGTTCCTGTTTTAATGATACAAATGTTCTGAAGTCAGATTTCTACACAAAAGTGGAAATATCGAATTCCAATGGGTCAAATGCAGCATGAAGGCACCCTGACCTTTTATCAGATGATGTGATACCCACTTCCTTTCTTTTTTTTTTCAAGATTTATTTCTGCAACAACTGTTTTTAGATGTTGCTTCTGAACAACTCTTGGCTGGCCAGTTTTCTAGCACATTGCCCTGGGCACAGTGCAGTGGTTAAATAGGCTGATTCTTCCCATCATGCGCTGGGATTCCATATAGGCACATCTACGCTGCTCCATGTTCTACTTAGCTCCTGTTGGTGGCCTGGGAAAACAGCTGAGGATAGTCCCAAACCTTGGAACCCTGCACTCATGTAGGAGATCCAGGAAGAGGTTCCTGTTTCCTGATTGGATTAGACTGGCTCAGTTACAGCTTTTGCAACCTCTTGGGAAGTGAACCAGTGGATGAAAGATATATCTATCTCTCCTTATCTCTATAAATTTGGTTTTCCATTAAAAATAAGTAAGTTTTTTTAAAAAAAATCCTGAGTAAAAGAGAGAGGGGAAGACACATTCCCAGGAAAGGCATTCCTTGGTCAGGGTCATCATTCACTCATCACTAGATGCCAAAGGGATTAACCATCAGTTTTCTACTATCTGTAGATTGTCTTACTGTTGACTAACTAGCTTTGGATAAAAGTGACCTAAGATGTGTTATTTAAATGTCCATACACAAAAGATGAGAAAACAGTCATAGACAGTTAACAAGATCAGTGAAAATTCACATGCACAGGGAATAATGGCAGAATCATATTCTTCCTCCAGTAAGATCCAAGCACGCACAAGTTTAAGTGTAATCTCTTTCCAATGCAAGTAAGGCAAAATAATCTTGGCCAATGGGACATGGGTCCAATGTGCTCACCTGGAAAAAGCAGCCCCCAGCACAAACGCAGCATACTCCTTCACCAGAGGCTCTGTGCTGTTCAGCCCATTGATCACCACCTGAAGGCCTCCAAAGGAAAGCAGGTCTTGCGCATTATCCATCTGCAACAAAGGTACTACTTAGTCCAGCACAGACACCAGAGGAAGCAGAGTTCTTCCTACACTCGTTCTTTTGGTGACTATCCAAAACAAAATCAAAAGCCAACTACAAAGCAAGAGTGGCTTTTCTGAATAACTAGAAAAGGATATGTAAAAACAAATCAAATTTTGAAATAACCTTGAAGTTGAGAATTCCTACTTCATCTAACATGATTTTTAAGCACCTGCGTGGGAATCAGCGGAAATAGCACCTTGCTTTTGCTTATGCCAAACATGTCTTGGAAAATTCTAATACCATAATGAGTCACAAAGCTTACTCCTAACACACAAGCTGTTAACAAAGAATCTTTCGTCATCAGCACCACAAAATGGTGACATGCTTCCTGTTGATGTCCAATCCCAATGGGGACAGTGGAAGCAACTGACATGGAAGAAAAAAAAAGTGATTTTCAATTAGAAGTCTGAGACTATAAAAGAACCCCTGTTGACAGAGGAGGTGGGGGTAGGGAGAGAGTGCTATAAGAGTGCTAGGAAAGGAGTAACAATAATACCCTTCTTTTCCATCTAAGGTTGACTGAATCTAAGGTCATTCATGACCATATCTGCACCAAGAATCACTCTCAAAGCAAATGTTTCCATCACATAAAGTTGTAATAGATAGCATCTGTCTACATTATTTCAGCTAAGACTCACTAGTATCCTGGTACAAGACTCAACTTCCTCAGAAGGGTCCTGGATCCAGTCTTCTGCATATAGTAGTTACAGGATCAATTGAAGTATTCTTTGTTCTTACAAAAGCTGCCTCTTACCCACATGCTGATTACACCTTATAAACTATTAGGAATACTTGGAAAGCGAGACCCCAATAACAACACAACTGTTCCCTACCCATCTCCTCCAGATTATACTGGGCCATTTCCCACCAGCTGAAAGACGGCTCTTACAGAGAAACGAAAGGTAAAGAACAGTATCTGACTCCACCAATAATTTGGGGCAAGCCTAGTTTGTTATTCTTCACCACTTGCAACATCATTCTTACATATTTTGACAGGATGTCTATAAGACCAGGTGTTTTTTGTCCATCTACTGTTATAATTCCAATGACTAGAACAGTGCTTACAATGTGATGCTCAATAAATAATCAGTGAACTCACGAACATGAATTTGAGTAGGAAAAAAGAATGCTCCTGGGATAAAACTCCAGTGTGAGATTTAAAACGGTAATCTGGAGCATCTGGGCCAACAAAAGGGATGGGCACCTGGAACCAAAGACCTGGAAAAATGGACAATCCAGGTCGTGCATAACATGGAGTCTGCTATTTCTTATGGTTCTAGGCCAAGGCTAGGATTTTTCTAACTCAAATTGTCCTGGTGAGGAGGGGTGGCCACTGAGTCATAGTCAGGCTCTCCAGGGAGACTCAGAATTGGGGGCTTTGTAGACAACAGCACTTTTCTGGTATAAACCCGGCTCTGGTTTTTAAATATATGAATTTATTCCTACCCTGGTCTCTTTTTTTGTCCTAGGTTTTTCCAGATACTAAACAAGGATTTGGAATCCTGTCCCTTCGTGCCTGAAGCATCCACCTATCAAAGCTAGTAGAGGAGCTGCCACTGTGGGCCCCCAAAAATACAATTCACAGTCACAGATACAGATTCAGTTTATCTCTGAATCAGTGTGACACGGATACTGATATTGACCTAAGCACTTCAGCTTCTTTATGATGTTCTTCTTCTTTATGATGTTCTCTCATTTTTTATTTCACTGGCAGAAGGGAGCACAAGGTGCATTCTGCCCACTGTGCATCCAAAGCTGGGCCCTCTTCAGTGCCACCAAGAAGTAGTTTGAGACACAACAGCATTTCTCAGGCTGTCACTAGAACAGGGTGGGACAGGCAAAGAGCATTCCAGAGCTGGAGCATATTAGGAAGGGAGCTGTGTCTATCCTCCAGAGGAAAAGAAAGAACTGGAATTCTGACACGTCCACTGGAGAGCAGAGAACGTGAGAAATAGGAATAAGTAACCAAGGAGCCATTTCAAGGAAGGCAAAGCTTTGCCACAGGTGGGGCAGATGGAGACTGCTCCTTATAAATAACCAACACACAGTCTTCCGCACACAGGGTTTTGCCTTTCACATTCCCTGTTTAATATTTTAAATATGCTGTGAGGACTCCTGAGGCAGACCCAGCTTGGGTTCTTGATGCCCAACTCCTCAAACCTCCATTCAGTAAATCTGAAACAGGAATGGAATGGGCAAGTTCTAAGCCAGAAAAGTCCTATCTCCTCCCAAGCTAAGCACCGCATTACCCAAACTCTCCATTATAGCTGAAAACAGCAGCCACGCTGATTTCGTCAAATCATACCTTGATACACACCCATCAGCCTGACATGCTGGCCTAAACCATGGGCCTTACGTTTCTACTCAAATGCCAGTGAGCAAGAATACTTCCAACTTGCTGCCGGCAGAGCGAATTGGGCACCAGAAGGGGGCTGGTTTCTCAGGCTGAGCCTGCTGATGTCTAAGAACTGTTTGCCCTCTCCAGTGAACTGTAAAAGCAGAATGGGATGGTACCTTAGGGATGATACTGCCAGGTGACCAGAGGAAAAAGGGCACAAGAAAAAAAAAAAAAAGAAACCTTGCCAAACCAGAGCTCATGCAAGCTTCCTGTACACTCAGTACCTGCTGGTTGTGGTAAGTTCTCCAGTCATCTTGGCTTTTCATGTGCAACTAAAGCAAGAGCCTATAGAAACCTGACACCTAAAGATCCACCCACATATGCTAGGATGCAAAAGAATAAAAACTGTCAACATCAAAGCAGGACTGAATGGGCCAACAACTCCTAGGATTCTTTATCCTTTAAATATCTCCAGTAGAAAAGCTGTTTGAGTTTTTGTTTTTCACCCTGGATACAAAGATTAGAAAGGAGAATACAGGTTCTTTTTTTTTTTTTTCCCTCTAAGAGATCACAACCCTGCTGTCTGAGGCTTAAGAAAGAGTTATGAGCAGCAAAAGAAGATGAAGAACCCAGTTCCACAATTTCTGCAGACACTTTCACACTCATCCTCTCCCCCACAGAAGCTGGCAAACCCTAAAGACAGAAAAACTGTGTTAGTCTGGTTTGCAGAAAACAAGAAGGCGATCATGCATGGGAGGACAGAGGATGTGTCTTGATGAGGCACTTTTATGAGCCTTTGATTACAATTTCACAGCCCCCGTGACATCACTGTCCCTAGTCTGGATCATGCAGTATCCTTCAGTCTGGTTCTCTGTTTCCACTCCAGACTCAATATCTCTAATCAACAATATAACAGCTGGAAGCAAGGATGGATAGGATAGGATAGAAATGAAGAACCTAGGCATTTTCTGCCTTTTGTGATTCTGCCTTAATGGCCTGGATGGGGGCTGTGTGAACCTCAGGCCTGATAGCCTACGTGACACCCGTGACACCCGGCAGGACACCTGGCAGGTCATATAGGCAGACCACTCCTCAGGAAGGAGGTACCTGGTATTTGATAAGATTCACAGCCCAATAGCTCATCGATTTGTACTTTTTCAAAGTTGCTTGTTTCAAACCCACCAATAGAAGCCTGCTAAATCATGACTGTATAATGAATAGCCTGAAATGTATAAGAACTAGGGGCTTGGGCTCTCGCTCTCTCTTCTGGCTCACGCTTCTTTTTGTCCTCCCTGTGGATCCTTGCAGCCTCGGCAGCGGCTGCCCCTCCCCCAGCCCAGCATGGGCTGGGTTACCTAGGCTAACCTGAATAAACCACCTTTTTGCCTTAGCACCGACTTCAGACTTGATGATTATCTGGGGATTTCAAAAATCCGGCACAACAGAAAGAAGGATAGAAAGACTGATCGGTTTATAAAGATTTATTTTTTTTTTTTGAAAGGTAGAGTTAGAGCGAGAGAGAGACAGAGATCTTCCATTTGATGATTCACTACTTAAGTAGCCACAATGGCCAAGGCTAGGCCAGGACAAAGCCAGGAGCTTAGAACTCTCCCCAAGTCTCCCATGTGGGTGGGAGGGACCTCAATGCTCTCAATGCTCAGGGCGTCTTCTGCTGCTTTCCCAGCTCCATGAGCAGGGAGCTGGATCAGAAGCTAAGCAGCAGGACTTGAACCCATGTTCACATCAAATGAAAGCAGTGGTTTACCACACTGGACTGCAACAGCAGCCCCTGCTGTGACCGCTTTAAGAGAAAGGCAGATCACAGCGCTCTTCAGCTCAGCAATGCCCACTAATACCCAGTGTTTCTTGTTCCCATGGCCCTCAAGACCTTTCATGATTGACTTTCCCTCATCTCAGGACTGAATCTGCTTCTGCTTCTGCTTCTCCTCCTCATTGCTGCACTTGTCCAGCCTCCCCATGGCTCCTCCATTATGCCAGCTCAGGGCTCCTGTACTCACTGTTCCTAATGCTTGAGACATCCTTCTCAGAACTGCCAAGAGTCAACCTGCTCTGCTTCCTTGTGGTCCACAATATCTACCCCTTTAAATAGTCTTTATAAGGTATTTGTTATGTTTGCCTTTATGCCTGTACTATACTTAGGTATATTTCCAATGCCTTGGAACGGTGTTGGCTAAAGCACTCTGCAAATTTGTTCATGGATTAAATAAATGGCTTCTCTGGGTTTCTTTTCTTGAGTTTCATATCCTGTTTTGACATTCATTCAGAAGGTATCAGTTTTTGGGACTGGCACAGTGGTGTATCAAGCTAATCCTCTGCCCTGTGGCACCAGCATCCTACATGGGCACCAGTTCATGTCCTGGCTGTTCCCCTTCCAATCCAGCTATCTGCTTATGGTCTGGACAAGCAGAAGATGATGAACCAAATCCTTGGAACCCTGACACCCACGTGGGAGCCCTGGAGGAAGCCCCTGGCTTCAGATCAGCTGAGCTCTGGCTATTGCAGCTGTTTGGGAAACTGAACCAGAGGATGGAAGATATCTTTTTCTGTCTCTTTTCTCTGTAAAATTTCCCTTTCAAAGGAAAATAAATA